GCGGCCCAAATATTTGCCACGTTGCTGGGTAACCACCAGTCGGCCCTGCAAGCTGGCAACTGTGGAAAGGAGGACTTGGAAGGAAATTTGCACAGCCACTAGGCCCAGCATCACGAATGTCAGCCAAGCCAGGACGCGCCCCAAATGTCTCCTGAGAGGGGCTCACTGATCCCCCGAAGCTGTCCCCAGGAGACAGGAAGTGTGAGATGGGATCAGCAGCTTCTAGGGAGACCGAGTGGCTGCCTGCGCCGGCTCACGGATGCGCGTCCACGGCGGCGGGCGGGCCTGCGCCTCTTGCTCGGGGTTGCAGTGGTCGCCCTCAGGGAGCCTCAGCTGCTTCTGTGGGGACCACCCACGTCCACGTGGGGCAGGGAGAGGCACAGAGAGAGGCAGCTCACGACCAGGGAAGCGGGAGGCGCTCTGAGAGGACACCCCCACTCTGAGCACCGGTCTGTCAGGTGACTCCCCGCCAGGTGCGGAGCTCCCTAAGAGTTGGGAAGGACATTGGAGGGCCAGGACACCTTCTGTGGCGGCAGCAACCCCAGCTGCAGTCGCCCAGCCCAGAGGGCACCCGTGAGCGCTCACCAGGGGGGGGGGGGGGGGAGCACGCCGCCCCCAGAGGTAGCCGGTCGTCTTGGAGACAGCAATAACTGTTAGAAAGCTCCTGAACCTGAGCTTGGCTCTTCCTTTGTGGGAAGGCAGGGGCTGTGGGAACACCAGTCACAGGTGAGGCTGTGATGGCCCAAGTGGGTTTCCCTCCCACCCCGAGAGCCCCTGAGGCCCCCAAATGAGGGCTTGGTGCTCAAGCTCTGGGAAAGCAGTATGGAAGCATGCAAAAATAAGGCCTCTACCTGTGCATCCTCACCAGAGAGAGCAGGTGGGCAGGCAGGGAACAGACCCGGCTCCATCCTGTGTGAACTGCAGACCCAGACCCCACGCTGGGGCACCGGCAGTGCTTTGCTTCTCTGAGCCACTGGTCCCTCTGTAAGGTGGGAGCAGCACAGGGCCGCAGGGACCAGGGTGAGGAGGCCGTGGTTCACGGTCACAGAGCCACCAGCAGGGGCCGTGTAACTGGGAGACGAGGCAATTGTCCCTTTTTCCTCTCCAGATGGCCCTGCTCTGACCCAAGCATGCTCTGTCTCCGCTTGCATCAGAAGGGTCCGGCCTCTCCTAGGTCTGTCCCACTGTCCTCCGTCCTTTCTCCCCTCCCGCCGAGCCCTCCACAAGTGGTCGGCAGGAGCCGTCCCCAGCCTGGACAGCTGCCTTCCGCTCCCTCCACTGCTCAGCAAAGGCCCCAGTCTCAGCCCCCAAAGGCCCATCCTCCTCCTCCCCTTCCTCCTCTTTGCGGCTTGAGGCACAGCTGCCATCTGTCACACATTCTGTCTGCCCGAGTCTTCAGGGCTCCGGGCTCCAGATGCCCCCTGCTCCTCCCTGACAGTGAGGACAAAGGCTCTGGCTTAGAGGACACTTGCTCAAGCCCTATCTTCTAAAATCTTATTGGAGCCTCCATACCTCTGGCAGCATGGCAACCGGTGGTGTTCTGCCCATTGTGCAGGTGGTAGGACTAAGGCCCAGAAAGAGGAAGTCACACACTCCACTGTAAAGAACCCAGGGTCTGCAGTGGTGGATTCAAATCCCACTGCTATTTGCTAGTTGCTCCACTTTGAGCAAGTTGCTTAATCGCTCTGGGCCTCAGGCTCCTCATTTGTAAAACAGGGAGGAATATACTCTACATTGTATGTTTCTCGTGGACCTGTTGGGGATACGGGGTGTGGGCAGGGCGAGGCTCTGGCCTCAGGTCCAGCCTCCATCCGGACTGGGCAGCCCAGGGGCCCGTGGGCCCGAGTGAGCACGGAAAGCGCTGAGCTGGCCCCAGGTGGGAGGCGGGAGGGCAGACTCAGCAGTTCTGGCCTCTAATGGGCCGGGATGGGATGGCGGCTGGGCAGTAGATGAGAGACCATGCTGAAATGGGGTTTCTTGCGTCTGTGATTGCTCCCCTCCCCTCGGCCTCCCTGGCTGTGCAGGGCCGGGGCTCACCCTGCGTTTGTTGGAAGGAAACTTGGGGTCTCCCTGCCCACCTTCCTTCAGAGCTCGGTTGCAAGGCCTCCTGGTCCGCATGCAGACGGCCACTCTGTCCCTCCTGCTCGCGGTCCCTGTTTTTCAGGCCGGATGGCTCAGGCTCTACAGCCACTGGAAGTCCTGGCACCCTGCCCCAGCGGGCGCTCAGGTGCCTATGGGGCTGGGTTCAGTCCTGACAAGCCCTGCCTTTGTTCATGAAGATAAGAGAATGCCCATGGCCAGGCACCTGCCATGCGCTCCCCATCCATAAACTCACTTGCCCACACAACCCCCTCTTGCCCATCTGCAGGTCCCTGTGCTTGCAGTTGACATCCACATATTCCTCCTGGGAAGGCGCTGCATGCCCAGTTCCGCCTCCCTGAATCTGGGAGGGGTCCCTGATTTTCCCCAAGGAGCCTCCCCCTCCCCCACGCTCAATCCTTGCAGTGGGGCCAACTCTTTCCCTGTCCCTAGGGGTGGGCATGTGACCTGGGCCTGGCCAATGAGAGGGTCACATGCTTCTAATGACAGTGATTGGTTCAGCTTTGAGTACATGACACAAGCTAAACCAATAAGACTACATTCTGGACTTTAGCTGGAAGTGGTGGGAATGGAGCCAGTAGGACATAACACTGGAGCTCCCAGGGGCCACGACAGGGAGGGAGCCAGTTTAATCACCACTGAGGACAGTGGAGCAGAGACAGAGACAAGGTCCTCATGAAAGCATTTGCACCTCTAGATCTAGCTGTGCCTGAAGCCCACATGCCCCTGGCTTTCTCAGTGACATTAGACTGTAAATCCTCTCTCTCTTTTATTCTTTTGCTTCAGCCACTTAGAGTTGAGTTAGGGTCACTTGTACCCAAGAAAGCCTTGACTAATCCAAGAATAAAGATGCTGAAAGGGCAGGGTAGAGCCCTGTGCCACTGCAGTGGGGATATCGTCTAGGCTGACAGCAGTCCACAAGTCGGTTCCCTTGGGGACAGCTGTGGCTGGTCAGTCACAGTGTACACCCTGTCTTCTGGAGCCTCAGGGCACCAATGTGCCTCACCAATGTCAGGTGCAAAGGCTCGAAGTAACCCAGGCACACCTTGCAGCCAGCCTAGTGCCCTGTCAGGAAGGAGGATTTGGTCACTTTGGCCTGCCCCACTCTGGGTGAACCACATAGAGCTTTCTCAGGGTCCCCAAACTTCCTTTGTGAAGGCCTTTGGAGGGTTAGGCTGGGACTAATGTCAGGTTCACTGGCAGCTCCACTTGGCAGCTGCAGAAGGGCTCTCTCTGGGGACCCACAAGAGCCTGCGAGGCCCGTCCACCAGCCTGGGAAAGGTAGGCAGATGCAACAGGATCTGACAGGCCAGACTCAGAACAAAGGCAAGCAGTGGGGGAGCGGACAGGAGAAGAAAGGGCTGCTTCAAAGCTCATAAAATCACAGTGAACTGTACTGCCCAAGATGAGCACTAGCTGTTTCCTAAATTATGCATATTTGTGCAAATTTTATGCAAATTAGCCACGCTAAGGTGGCAGAGGGCACTTGCTGACAGCCTGGCCCTGGAGCCTTCTCATCAGTCAGCCTCAGCCTCATTCAGGGCGTGGAGGAGCTGTCACCCTCCAGGAAGCAAGAGGGGAGGGACAGGGTCTGCCCTATCCCAGCCTCCTGCCCACCCTTTCCCTCTAGGGGCCCTCCACAGAGCCAGACCCTCCAGCCCACCCTCCACATCTGGCTCCTGTCCTGGGCTGCCGACTCAGAGACAGTCATTGACAGCCGGGCCTTTCTGGTCACCTGGTCCAGACAGGCCTCCCATTGTCCAGATGAGGAAATAGAGGCCCGGACCTGGAAAAGGACCTGCCCTGTGCCTTGAGACCTTGCTGATGACTCAGGAGAGCTGGCCTTCTGCGTGGGCAGCACAGGCAGCCATCTACTGACTTCCTACTCCACCCGGGCCCTGATATGTTTCCCGATCCCCTCGCTGTACCTAGAACTCTGACATTTATGCTCTGGGTCAGTCATCAGAGCCTGGGGCTAAAAGCTGGCAAAGTCTGGTACCCAGGCCCTCAGGAATGCTCAGGTCCTGCCCTGGCAGTACAGATGGGGACACCGAGTCAGGCCAGAAGTGGGTCTGAGCGGGGCCTCCTACCTGCCTCCTCCCTATGCTGTAGTCTCCTCCCGGACACTATGCTTCGTCCACAGAGGTGAAACCTCTTTTAATGCCAGAGACAACTGTAAGGATCGGAAGGCAGCCCTGCATCCTGCCCAAACAAGGGACGAAGGTGGAAGCAAGGGATGGCCTTGGCCATGCACGGCCACAGGGGCGCCTGGCGGTTCTGCCTGCCCTGCCACCCTGAAGCCGGACTCGGATCCCCAGCCCGGCATTTCTGCCCTCCCCAGTGCCAGTCCAGAGCCTCGGGGCTGCTTCTTGGGGAGCTGAGCAACACGGCTACAGGATGAGTTTGGGGAGTCTCTGTCAGCCCAGTGGTGACCCTGTACTCCTGGAAGAACCCCTGGTCCCTCTGTCACCACTAGCCACTTACCTGGCAGCCCCCAGGCAGCAGGAGGCCTGTGGAGCCCTGGGCCTCCCTCATCAGGCAGGGGCCAAAAGGCCAGAGGGGCCCAAGGAAGATGGGGGGACATGGGTTGTGCAGCCAGCTGTGCGACCTGGGGCAAGTCACCTCACCTCTCTGAGCCGCATGACCGACGTCTGCAAAGGACTCATTGCTACTGCCCAGGATTGAGGTCGAAGAACATCCCCAATGCCCTGGCACGGCACTGGGCGCACGGAAGCACTCAGAGGAAGTGACCCCCGCTGCCCAGCCCGGCCTGCAGCTGGCGCCCACCCTGCCCCAGGCATGCCCGGCTCCACTCCGACCACCGTGGCTGCGGTCTGCAGTGCCAGCTCCACTCGCGGCCCCTTCAAGTCTCCCCGCGAGGCCGCCTTGGGCCAGAACTGGAGAGTGGGCAGACGTGGCAGGATATGCGGGGTGACGAGACGAGCCCCACCGCTGCCAGCCCGCCGCCCACAGACGCCCCAGCACCCACTCCTCCTCCAGGAGCCCCGGCGCCTTGGCCCCTCGCCTGGCTAGACCGGATCGTCAGGGATGTTCCCAGCAAAACCAGAAACTGCTCGCATGCCCATCGGCAGGGGAACTGTTAAAAGAACTAAGGCTCATCCTTTATAAGAAAAAACACCATGAAGCATTTAAAAGGAGTCAGGCGGATCTATGTGCGACAGGGAGGTCTCCCGGCATGTGGGGAAGAGCAATTTCCAGAGCAAGACACATGGAGTGGGACCCGTGATGGCATTAGAAACGCCGCGCTGTGCGCAGGCCGCTGTTCCGGGCGTCAGCGTGTTACCTGGCGAGTGGGCAAGGCGACCTCGGACGCTGAGCGGGACGGAAGGTACCCGGAGAGGAGAGGCAGCCCGCGCCGCCGCTGGCTGTCGAGCTCCGTGGTGACTCGTATTTGTGGGTTACTTGAATGCATGTGTAAATATTTTTAAGATCACGAGGTCACGAAAGCGAATTCCCGCCCACGACTCGGCAGGCCCGCGTAGCTCCCTGGCCCGTGGGCCCCGCCAGCGCCTGCGGGCTGCCCCCGCCCTCAGCCGCTCTCCCGAGCACTCTCCGCGGTCCGACCTAAGGCCACGCAGCCGTCAGCTCTGTGGGCACAACCTTCCATCAGCCGTTCTCGCTCTGATCCCATCAGCTTTGTCATGGCTGCTCCCGCGGCAGCAAGAAGCCAAGAGCGGGGGACAGGTCGGGCGGCCGGGAGTCCCGCCTCTCAGGCCACAGCCCCCTAGGGCCCGTAGAAACTGCTTCTTTCCAGAATCACGCAGCCATAAGTCTGCTGCTCTCTGCGGAAGAAAGAGCCTGAACCAGCTCTGTCCTGTGTCTGGCGGGCTGGGCGACAAGGGAGGAGAGGCCTGGCCCTGCACTCAGGAGTCTGTCGGCGGCCTTGGAGGCTCCCCTGGCGCGACAGGCGGCGCCAGAGTGCAGACACTGGCAGGACTGGGCGCCGAGCCTCAGGGAGGGACAGTGACTGCCCCGGCCCGAGCCAGTCTGCAAGACCCAGCCCCACGCTCCCACCCCAGCTCTGAGGTCTGGCTTCTCTGCGTCCTTCCTGAGCGGCTCCCAACGGCAGAAGAAAGTCCAGAGGCGCCGGCAGAAGGCGACGGGCAGGGCGCAGGGCCAGGGGAAGGCGGAGTGCGCACGTCCCCGCAGCGGCCCAGAGAAAATAGTGATTTTTCTGGCCAGTAAAGCCAAATTCCATGAAAGCTACAACTCCAGACTGAGAGAGTCCATCAGTGTTTCGTAAGTATTTGAAAGTGCCCGGTTGATTATCACCCTGCAATGGCTGTGGCCCTGGGTTTGAGGGGCAGGGACAGAGCCCAGCCCCTACCATGCCATGAAAGCCCCAGAGCCACGTAGCCACCATTCCAGGCTGCTTGTGTTTGCGTTGGCTTCTGAAAGGACACACAGGAAACCAAAAGCAGGGCTCGCCTGGGGGAGGGAAGGAAGGCCTTTTACTCTCTACAGCGTTATCTTGCTGGAATTTTGAAACATGTGACTGTGCTGCCTTTGCAAAATAATAAAGGAGATGTTGACGCTGTCCTGGGACCGCTGCCTCGCTGGCCCTGCTCCGGTGCGGCGGGGACACGGGGGAGGTACCGGCGCAGGCCCCGCCCAGACAGCCCGGGAGGCCGGGAGAGCAGGTGCCTCTGCCGCGCTCACACAGCTCCTGGCTGCGTCTCTCCCTGGAGGCCACCAGCTGTGAGGGCGCGGGGCCGCCATGAGCGCGTGCTGTCAAATAGCCCTGAGTGTGGGGGAGAGGCTCTCTGTGCCACAGGTGTGGGCCAATAGCAGGCTCATCCCGGCACGCTCGTGACAGGCGGTGGCCCCGGATGTGCTGCCGTGCTTCCCACCCACGCTGCTGGGTTGGTCTTCAGCAGCCAAAGGTCGCTTGCCTTGCCTCAGTTATGCAAGAAGTGACTTTTCTACTGCTAGGAGCTGGTTCAGCAGGACGAGCCCCCGAGTCCTGGGAGGAGAGGGCTGTCCTTTGACGTCAGTGCAGGTCAGTGGCAGGGCTGGTCCTGGAACCCAGACCGATTTATGGCATCTAAGCCGAACTTCGTTCTACAACATGTGGCAAGACCTCCTTTGCACAGATGTTCTTGGCTCTGAGGAGGTCGCTCAGCCTGCAGCCTCTCCTCCCCAGGCCTCGGCCAACAGGCAAGGAGGCTGGAGCCAGACCCTGTGCAGGTTCCTCAGGGCCTGGCTCGGTGTTGCAGAGGAACACGGCGCCCAAAGCAGCCTCTGGCCAAGTGGACATTCGTCCCAAAGCACCAGCAGCTTCTCTTTAGCAGGTCCTGGGACCCTTGGTCCTCTGTCCCCACATAACTCAGTTTCCCAATCACACTGTGTGCAGTGGGCTTGCTAGGGCTGGCCCGACAAAGACAGGGGAGTTTCTACTTCTTCTCGGCAGTCGGTGGTCAGCCTGCAGTCTCCAGAGAGTGCCAGTGGCTCAGCCCTAGGACAGCGGCTGCAATCCCAGCTGCAGGAGCACGAGGACAGAGGAGCCACACACTGGGCAGATGGGTGAGCCTTCCCTGGGGGAGGGGACTGACCTGGGCTTTAGGAGGCCGCTATGCACCATATCACATGTGCACACACATGTGCACGCCTGGGCAACACATGTGTACGCATAAGCATATCATGCATGTTTGTATATGTCTTTATATGTGCCCAATTATACACAGTACCATAGAAGATATATGCACATGAGCAAAACGTCCTCTAACACACACAGGTGGATGAGCAGTGGTGTGTAATGGTGCTTGGAGGGTCCTTGAGTCCTCAGGCAGGCAGCCTGGGGCCAGGCAGAGGCAGGGACTGGCAAACAAGGGCCTCGTCTTTCCAGCTCAGGGTCCCCCACCCACTCCAGGGTTTTCGAGGGGAGGAGGAGGGGGAGGGCCTGCACCCCTGCCTCTGGCCCTCACGCACGTGCTCACACTCCATCACACTCCTCGGTGTGGGCACAGGTCTGAGGGAGGGCCTTGTTAGACGTGTTCTGTGCTAATGACTTAGTTCCTGCGGCCCAGGCCTGCCTGCTGGACATAGGAGCCCCCCTGGTGGCCCTAGCCCAGCTCCCTGGTTCTTACCTGCTGCCTCGGCCATGCCCCTGCCCAGCCTGCCATCTTCACTCTCTGCCCCCTCCTACTCCCACCCCGCCCACCCTCAGCCCTCAGCTCTCCCATCTCTGGGGTGAGTTCCGGGGGTCTCCCTGGGTTTCCATTTGCAATGTGGGACACCCCTCCCTCCAACCTCCCAGGCCACAGACTCTTGGCTTTGAGCAGATCAAGGTGGTATCACAGCCTCTGTCCCTGCGCCCTCCAAGGACTGGATCACTGTCCCGCCGTGTGTCGGCGGGCAGAGTTCAGAGGGGTGACTTGGTACCCCCCATTCCACACTCTCAACAGACTGCGGTTGGAACTTCTATTCCTATTTTGTTAGCAGTGGTGGAGTGGGAAGGAACATCTGGTCACAGAGTCCAGGCTGCGAGTCATATGTATCCAAACGCCTTCTCTCTCTCTCGGTCTCTGCCACCCTCTCTATGTGCCTCAGACACGTGTCCCAAGCCTGCCCCTCCTGCAGTCTCCGCCACCCGGGAAGTGCGCGTCCATCCACCAGCCCTCTTGACTCCTTCTCCCAAGTCCTGTCTGCCTTCGGCTCTCTCTTCACCTCTCCTTTCTCCCTGTCCACGTTGCCTCTGTCCTGTCCTAAGCCACTGTTATGTCTCCCCAGGGTGACTGCAATAGCCCCTGCCAGCTGCTCGGAGCCCCCCCAGCCCGAAATCTCTCCCAGCCAAGCGGGGAGAGCTTTCAAGCCATAAATCAGACTTCATTTCACCACCACCTCTTCTTAGAAACTGACACTCCCCCCCAGCTCCTAGGGCAGCTTCTAGCACCTGTGAGGTCTCTCCAGGGCAGTTCATCCCACATCCCCCCGGCTCCCCGCTTCCAGCCACACTGGCCACCTGGCCTCAGGGCCTTGTCCAACCGAGCCTCCACCTGGAGTACTCCCTGCTCTGCACACGGCAAGTTCCCACTGCAGGCCTCAACTCAGAAAGGCCCTGCCTTTCCCCTGAAAGAGGCCTTTCTGGAACCCCCGATCTGGAAAGGTCCTCTATTTCTTTCTCATTCTACGCTGTTCTTTTCCTTTAGAGCACTTATCCTACCTTATTATATATATTTATTCATGCATTTATTTTTCTAATATCTGTCTCTTGCACCAGATATTAGTCCTGAGAAAGAACCAATGTCTGTTTTGCTGACTACTAGAGCACAGTGCCTGGCTAAGTAGTTGCTCCAGAAACGCAGGAATGACTGAATGAACGGCGAGCTGGCGGCTAGCGCCTCTTCAGCAGGAACAAGAGGAACACAGGTGCCCACAGAAGAAGGGAGTCAGGAGAGGGAGGCAGCCTGGATCCGCAAAGACAGGCCCCTGGCTCTGGGCTGGAGCTGGGGAGCAGTGGAAAGAGCCCTGGGGCAGCCCTGTGGGCCACAGGGTCAGCCGCAGAGGGAGGGCGGGCTGCGGGCTGCGCGCCCCGGCAGGCGGCCTCGTTGCTGCAGATTTGTATTCCCCCCGACTTTTATTTCAGGCCTTGTTTATTTCTCCTTAAAAAGCGGCTGCTAGGCCAAGAGTCGTACCCGAATTAGCTGCGAGTGTGTAATTTTACAGCTATTACCCGGTGGTTCTGTGACTTGGGTAATAATGAGGGAAATATAAACAAACAACGGCAAAGGCAGTTTAGCAAGGAGGCCTCCTAGATGTCTCCCTTTCCACGTGGAACAAGTCCCCTCCCTTCCCTGTCCCCATTCCTAGCCCACCCTCCCTCACCTCAGGCCCAGGAACCCCCTCGCTGCCCCTCCCTCCTTGAGCAAACAGGCATCAAGAGGCACAGCCCATCCCACCCAGGCCCCCAGCTCCCTCCACAAAGACAAACAAAGGGAGCCTAGTTACATGGGTTTCCCTTCTCTGGAGGCTAATGGCACTGGAGCACTGTGACATTTCGCTCTGTCTCCTCCATTATTCTTGCTTATTATCTGACTGCTGCTGAGCTCTGGGCTGAGGCTGGCACTGACCGCATCCCCTCCCCTCCCCTCTTTGCCTCTGTCCCTTTGCTCTCCCCACACCCAGCCCGCTCCATCTCCTGGGGGCGGGTGGGGGGCAGCGAGCTTGAGCTGTCCCCATCCCTGGGCCCTCTGAGGGAAGCAGCACCCAGCAGAGGTCTGGGCTGGGTGGGGCTGCCTCAGTCCCCAGGACCCTGCGTCTTGCCTCAGTTCAGCCGCAGCCTCGCAGAAAAGGCCTCTGAAGTGTCCCTGTCTGCTCTGTGCCTCAGTTTCCCTATGGCTGTACCATGAACTGGTGGGAATCGATCCCCAAAGGTTCCTCCCGGTCCAACATTGAAGGGGAAGGCTTGAGGGGAGGGGCGCAGGCCGTGGGTACCCGCCCGAGGGGTGGGCTTGCGCTGGGGTGGGGCGGGAGCGAGCACTGGAGGGCCACAGGAGGACAGCGGCCTGGACTCCAACACACAGTCTTTGAAGACGCCGACGTTGTTTTTCTTCCAAATAATCTTCATTTTTTAAAAAATTACAATAAAGCAAGCAAAAAACATCAAACTTCCCCTCGTCTCCCCTAGAGGCAGCTCTGCGAGTAGCTTGCTGTGTCCACTGCCAGCATTTTCTGAGGCGTATTTGTTCTATAGATTCTTATACACAGGCTTTTTTAAAACACAGAATGGGGTCACAGCGCACCTATCCACCGGCGCTTGCTTTCCCTCACAGACGCCTCCAGGTCAGCACGTAGGGGTCGACCCATGGCTAAGTGGCCGCGGGGCCGCTGTGCTGCCGGGCCACCAGCCTGCGCAGGGGCCTGTGCTGTCTCCAGTTTGGGGCTGTAGCAGTTTTTCGGGCTATAAATAATACTTACCTAACAACCCCAAAGCATAGTGTCTTAAAACAGCATTTATTAGGTCCTGAGCCTTCAAGGAAGCCAGAGGATTGGCTAGGGCTGCAGGTCCTGCCATTGGGGGCCTGCCCTGCGATGACACAGGCCTTTTCCCAGTGGTCTCCGCCCTGCAGCCGGCTGGCCTGGGCTCATCCTCAGGGGGTAGCAGGTTGCCCAGAGAGTGGATGGCAACGTGCCAGAATTCTTTAGGTCTACATGTGCGACTGGCACATGGTCATTTCCGCCATATCCCACTGGCCAACGCTAGTCAGTGGCCAGTCCAGATTCAAGGGGAGTAGAAGCTGGTTCCACCTGTTAACGGACTGAGCTGCAAAGTGACATTGGAAAGGGGTAGATACAGGGAGGTGTGGAGGATCAGGACGGTCTTTGTGATTGATCTGCCAATGAGGCTGTCACAAGCATTCCATAGCGAGCAACTTTGTGCCCACTTCTCTCCGTTCCACCAGGCTGGCATTCCTGTAGATGTCAAGGGGGAGGGGGTTAGGGGTTACTAAGGCTCTTGCATTCTTGAGGGATGGTGTTATTAACTGCAAAATTACTCCCCCAAATTGTCACTGGGAGTGAACTTCCAAAGTAGATAAATTGGATGAAGGATGGAAAATCTTTACAGAGCCTTCCAGACTCAACTGATTCACTCCAAGGCCTGTTATTGACACCTGCCAACCTCAAAAGTCCAGGGAAAAAATAATGATAACGATCATCATAGAAGACTCAGGGAGCCCAACTAGGTGGTGACTCAGCACCCCTGCCTCTGGGTCCAGAGCCCGCCTTCCTAGCCTCAGTCCTGACAGTTAGGTCTTTGATCCATGTTGAGATCATTTTTGTGTATGGTGTGAGGAAAGGTGTTCTACTTCATTCTTTTGCATGTGGGTACCCAGCTGTCCCAGCATCACTTGTCACAAAGATTGCCCTTTCCCCACCGAATGGTATTGGCTCTCTTTTTGAGAATCAATTGACCATAGATGTGATGGTTTCCTTCTGAATTCCCCTGTCTATTCCATTGATCCATGTCTGTCCTTATGCCAGCAGGACAAAGTCTCCTGCACTCCACCTGTTCTGCCTCCCTCCTCTCGACCCCTGGCAACCACTTGTCTTTTAATGTCTCTATGGTTTTGCCTTTTCCAGAATATCATATAATTGGAATTACATAATATGTAGCATTTTAAGATTGGCTTCCTTCACTTAGTAGTATGAATTTAACATTCCTCCATATCTTTTCATGGCTTGATCACTCGCTTCTTTTTTTCTTTTTTTTTTTTTTTATTTTAGTGTATTCTGGGGATACAAGTGAGGGTTACATATGTTGCCCATGCGCCTCCTCCCCTCTCAAGTAAGAGCTTTAGGCGTGTCCATCCCCCAAACGTTGCACATCTTACTCATTGTGGTTGTATATGCTCATCCCCTCCTCCCTCTCCCACCCTTCCGACACCCGATAAATGTTACTCCTATATGTCCACTTAGGTGTTGATCCGTTAATACCAATTTGCTGGTGAGTACAATTTGCTGGTGGTGCTGGTGCTGGTGCTGGTTTTTCCATTCTTGAGATTCTTCACTTAGTAGAATGGGTT